GGGGATAGGGGGGGGGGGCTTCAGACATGGCACCACCCTTTAGACAACTTCCATTTTTAAAAAAAGTAAGTTTTCCCAAAAAATGTCACCCCGTCAAAAAAAATTAAAAATTAAAAATTAAAAAATTGTGATACAGGATGACCCCTCCACGTCTTTTATCCTAGGCAACTGAGAAGCTTTCTTTTTGGATACAGTTCATTTCTAGCAAGATAAAAGGTCGGACAAAGTTATCGAACTTTTTGTCTAGCGAAGACTAAAGGCTAAAGCCTTCAAACGACAAAACCGGTAAAAAATGTGGCATTAGAATAGCCAATGACTAAAGGCATTCTCTTAACGACATTAGGAAAGACTGAAGATGCATATCAATTCTTTCAATCTTCTGTGAGTCATACGTTTCGAGCCCCAAGAAATGCGGTTTAAGAAACAGTCAACAATATATTTATTTAAGCAAAATTGTAAATCCAACTCCAAAAAAAACGAGAACTTCTTGTGCGTGGAAATGGCAGGTCCTACATTTAAAACAACGAGCCTAGGCTTTTGGCTGATGATACAAGGCGATTTAACATATCGACGATGCCACAAATTCAAAAATAGGAAAAAATAAAGGGTTTTCTAAATGTATTTTATCTAAGTATTGTCTAGCATTAAAGTGTAATAGTTAAATCATTCTTTTTTAATCAACATATCAAGCATTATAAACAGTTAAAGGACACATTTTGGTAAATAAAAACACACGTATTGATAATTGACAGATGTGTTAATGATCCTTGATGCAGTGGGTAACTGGTCAGCAATATGTTAAAAGTTCGTGTAGCAGGTTAAATTATGCTCTTTTAATGGCTCATTGACGCTGCATCAGCTTATTTAAATGAGCAAGCTTAGAAATGGAAACAGTTTATATTCCGACCCACGATCCCCTTTTTTCCCACATCTTCACCTGTATAAAGCCCAAACAGCTAGTGTCAGATACGTTTGCAAACAATTTCTAATAAATAAGTGTCCTAAAAATAAAGAACTTGATTTTAAAAACTCATTATTTGAAATAATGCAGCGGCTACATAATCTAAAGAGTTAACTCCAAACTTATTCCAATGAAAAATGTTACCCTGACTAATGTCTGCTAGCATATGCAGGTGTTACGTAGACGATGTGTTTTCGTCATAGTTACCCCGTGCTGTGAAATCTATCAGACGCTACCTTTGTATTGGGCGCGGCTTATTGCCTTTCACCATGTTGACCACAAACCAATCTATCGCCTGCTTTCTCGACTGGAATACGATAGAAAATGGTAGTAAATCAAGAATGTTCATGTCACTAATGCAAGGTCCAATGCACCTGGACTTTTCTGTAGAACAGACTATAAAAAGCTGAGAGAGCTATGTGTTGGAATTCCTTTCATCATTTTACCTTTCTTTAACACATTGTTAATTTCATTCACTTTTGTACCGTCATAAGAAACACACAACTCTGTAAGTTTCTGTAAGTTAAGGATTTTATTATTATTTTTTTTAAAATGTGTACACTGTTAGCAACTTAATAAAACGAATTAATTGCAGTTAGCACTGTTCTGAGTATCGTATTCTGTGTTTTTGTTTTTATCATTTGGTATCATCTTGTTATGCACTGGCTTGGAACGAGCCGTACATGTCAACATGAGATTAATTTCTCCCTACGGATGGCAGTGCATAATAAAAGATTACACCAAGTTTTTTTTTTTTTTTAAAAGCAGCTGTTTAGGCCTTTTGTTTGGAATTTCCCAGAAAATTTGAAAATGTAGGTCATGGAACACAAAGAAAGACGCATAGTTTTGAATAAGGTATTATTTTTTTATTTATTTTTCATCAAACAAAATAAAATTATATTATAATGCACTACCTGTTTCGGTTTACACATGTCAATTGCATGCATATTATATGGTGTTCACTGGCTTGTTCATTGTTGTAACCTAGTTTTTCCACAAGTGGCTGTTGTTGTTTTTTTTCAATTTTATTTTTTGTTAGCTACAAAATAAAATAAAAATGTACAGCACATAAATTATAATTATTTACATTTTTTTTAACAGCCAATAAAGAAATGGACATTCTTTAAATAAAAAAAAACGTGTAGGGTTTTATAAATGTTTCCCTTCTAACATAATGTGGAGTCTTCTTTGTTTTTAACAACTAACAAACAATCATGTGTTGGGCTTTATTGTACCCGTGTCTTGGGATAAGTTTAAGTCGCAAACTATGGATTGCAATATTTATAACCAACGGATATTTCAGCATTTCAACAGAAGGTAGAAAATCGTTCTTTATTTTTGTAAATAGATTTTTGTTTTAATGGTTGTTGGTTTTTTTCTAACTTTAGATTTTAATTGTATGTTTATTCAATTTATGAGATTAACCAAGATATAGTTATTTAAATCTTAAGTACATATATTATTAAAATAAAGATACACTGTTTTATGTGTTAATGATAACATTTAAATCACAACAGAATTAAAATCATTCTCAGCGCTCCAAAACACGATATTCTCCTCTCGGATCTGGACCGTTATAAGTATTATTAGGATAATATTTGGCAACAGCCTCTATGGACGATAACTACTCAATAAAATGATTGAGCGTATCTTTTGCGCACGAAATAAAATCACATGGATTCAGAGTGGTCCTTCAATGGACACCTACACTCGAGAAATTATTACAAAGTGGAGTAAAACAACCTATTTTCTAGCAAGGCAAGGTTTCCAGCCACAACTAAACCAACTGATTACCCTAATGGGTTTCCAAGAATGGTAAAAATACCATTTTTAGGATGAGTGTTTAAAAACAAATTTTACGAGTAATGTTTTTTTTTTTTAAAAATGTTAGTAGGACTTTTTTAAAAAGACCGTTTTCATGAGGAATGACTTTTAAAATATGGGACAAAGAAACACGACACAAAAGCTTTACCCGATCATGCCTCACCTAATGAAGAAAGGGTTCAAGTGATCGTCAAAGACCACCGTTGTGTAGCAGCTACTCAAAATATGCTAAGTTCTAACCTAAGACTACCTCAAGGAGTCAACAATTAAGAGCGTGCATTTAAATCTAATTCACGGCAGAGCAGTCATGACACCCAAGTGTTAATTAAGAATTTGTTATTTCTATAGATTTGCATTTTGTTTTGTTATTTTTAAATGTCGATAAACGGCATACATTTACCAAAGATACTAAACTATTTTATAAATCTGTAATCTTTATGTTATGTTTATACTATGTTTTAATAAGCTTACGTAAATATAACATTTGGTAGGTCAATGGCAATAGTATGCTACTAAACGAAATGTTCATGTCTTTGAAGAACTGCTTTACAAGACAACATATATCATTTCTTTAAAAAAACTAATTATAAATAACCAAGAATCAATATTTTCAGTCTTCAATTGTTGTAATAAAAAACTATGTTGCATTTGGTATGCACATATTAATTTCTCAATCCTCACCACTGAGATGAATACGACTCCAAACATCACTCGAAGCAGGACTTGTATGATTTAAAGGTGCATGATGTAACATCGTAAAAGTATTCTATAATATTCGCTAGTAATCAGGGGTTTGAAATGAAGTAAGAATTTCATATTGTAAACTATCATCACTTTGTTACACAATGATGAAAATCTAGTGATGTGAAAATCCACGTTTTTTAATATATATATATATATATATATATTTAAATTACAAATAGGTTAAAGTTGTGTTTGTTTTCCTCTTTTTTTATACAACTTATTTTATCTGAGTCTTTCATTTCAACGAATCGTGTTTGATTCTGACCATCAAATAGTTTTTTTTTCTCGTCCATTAAAATGTATGATTGTTATAAAAATGTTTATTCTTCTTGCAAAAAACAACCACCATTTTAGAGAGTCCCCTCAGCTTCAAAATCTCTCATGTCCTTCAATGCCAAACTGAGTAATCCAACTGTCCCCTAGAGCGCGGTAACTCCCATGTTGACAACCACTTCTTAGAGTATAGTTACAGGATTATTTTTTTTTTTATCTTTATTTACTTTAGCAAACATGTATGTCGAAGTATGTTTTTTCTCTTGGATCCAATGTAATTCTCAGGTAGCCCCGGAGAAATAACATTTACATCAAGGCTTTCCAAGACAAACAATGAACAATCCATCGATATGGAATGTCGTTCGTCAAATTATCCTAAAAGCATCTCAATCTTGCGCAGGGGCGCTAAACAACCCATCAAAACAAGGGGTTACAACTCCCAAAACTATCAAGAACTGCTTAGTGTAACGGCAAGCATCACCCCCGTCAAATGCAGTAGTATGGGAATGTATGAGTGTGTCGTTGTGGATTATAAGGATGTGACGAAAATGGTGACGTCCGAGGTCGCCGTTGAAAAATGTAAGTTCAAAAATGGGAAACACAACAAAAAAAAACAAACTGTTATGCATCAATATCTAAATATGGAAAATAAATCATATTGAAATGTATTTAAACCCAAAAAGGCACTGTGTGTTTTTATCTCACTCTTTCTTTTAGCTGTTTGTAAATTCTCTTTAAAAAAAAACAAAAACAATAAAAGAGATGTGGAAAAATACAAGTGAATTTCCTGTAACATATTAAATTATCTGAATGAACTATTTTTGTTTCGCTCTTTTAATAAACATTTGAAGACAACCTTAATGAATACTTGGAATCAAATGATTTAAGAACTTGTTAAGAATCTGAACTGTCAACGATTGTTCAAAATCAATAAATTAGATTTTAAAATATTGATGGCTATAATAATTATTTAGCTCTGATCTTAACAAGCATTAACAAATATATTTTTTTGAAAAACTACAACCCCACCATCTTTCTGCAGGTCCCCTAAAGCCCTGCTATAATGAGCTAAACGACACGACGGTATATCATGCTAATAGAAATTCCAATGTAACAATGTCTCTTTGCGTCATTGCTTACCCAGCAATCGCTGACAAAATCCAAATAAACGGTGAAGTGTACACTTTCAGTGGGACGCCTGGGATGGAATACGTCGTCAGCAGGTCAGGCATGTTACACTATGTTAACTTCACACTCATCAACGTCAAGTTAGCGGACTTCATAAAGTACAACGTCACGCTATATTCTTTGTTGAACCAACCAATGTCGTTACATGTTGAGCTCCAGCCCATAGGTATGTGACTAGAATTAAATGAATATATTGACAGACAGTGGTGACATAATCACAATAAAATACACAGACCATAGTGATACATTATATAAAAAATTTTAAAAAATGTTTTATTTTATTTCAAACTACAATTTTAAATGCCAAATTATGAGAAAGGAAAGTATACCTAATATGTTGTAAGATGTGTTTCTTTAATGACACGATTACAACAAATGTAAGATATTACTTTTTCATTAAAGAAAGAAAATTCGATGATAATAAATTGATATGAAGTCTCCTATAAAAAACCCAGTTCATTACACTGTGCATAAAAATTTCTAGTCATAAATTGGCTACCACAAAAGACATAATGTATATAAAACATTAAATAATAAATAGAACTTACGTATGTGTATAATACATATTTGATAGTTTTTCTCATCAAAAATAAAACATCTAACATCAAACAGCCCTTACAATTATTCAACAATAAAAGTTGTCGAATTTTCGAAATAGATTTAACCGTTGTATATCGTCATCAAAATGAAATTATCAATCTTGTTTTCAAAATACATTCCACAAAAAATTTGTTTACACTCTTTCATCCATAGAATTACCAACAGCTTCGCAGCTGCCACTAAAGGAAATGACTACGTTAGAAAATACGACTTTCCTATTAAGTGAAATCACTGTACCAGGTAAGGAAAGTCAAGTATCCATTTCCTCTCTATAGAAGCTGACAGGGTCTGTCGCAAAATAAATCGAGAAGGACCATTTAAAGGCAGATGTAATTTAGGTACCAAAAACATACACTATACTAAAACATACACTATACTAAAACATACACTATACTAAAACATACACTATACTAAAACATACACTATACTAAAACATACACTATACTAAGACATACACTATACTAAGACATACACCATACTAAAACATACACTATACTAAAACATACACTATATTAAAACATACACTATACTAAAACATATATTATACTAAAACATACACTATACTAAAACATACACTATACTAAGACATACACGATACTAAAACATACACTATACTAAAACATACACTATACTAAAACATACACTATACTAAAACATACACTTTACTAAAACATACACTATACAAAAACATACACTATACTAAAACATACACTTTACTAAAGCATACACTATACTAAAACATACACTATACTAAAACATGCACTATACTAAAACATACACTTTACTAAAACATACACTATACAAAAACATACACTATACTAAAACATACACTATACTAAAACATACACTATACTAAAACATACACTATACTAAAACATACACTATACTAAAACATACACTATACTAAAATTAGTTTAATAGATCTGATGAGATCATTCGTATTATATATATCTGATGATATCATTCAAATAATATATTTAATTATAAAATTCGAATAATATTTATGATGATATCATTCGTATAATTTATCTGATGATATAAATTGTATAATTTATCGGATGAGATCATACGTATACAATCTGTGTTTAAAAAAAAATAGACCAACGTTATTAATGAAATAAAAAAAAAAATGTTCATTTTTAAGGTCTTGATATTAAAGCATTTAGGTTCACTTTAATAGTTCAACTGTCACCACTGGCATTTGCCATTGGTATAGCTACAAAAATACCAATATACACTAATGACACGTTAGATTTGGCACTAAGTTTGTTTAAACTATCCTATTTTGTTACAATATCCATCTCTACTCCCTTCATTATCTCTATTTCTTTCTCTCGTTTGTTGTTGTATTCTATCTTTTTTTTATTCTTTATCAATTTATCTAGTCCATGTTCACTATCTATAAATAAATGCCTACATTTTATGTATGAAAATTTAACTATTCAGTTGTATATTCGATGGAAAACAATCACTACACCACTTCAACATCGGTGTGACTAGGTCAATCTTTACTATGTTAGACTGTTAGTGGAGTTTAACCTTATGTTATTCTCGGTTTTTCACGTTGTTTTACCTATCTGTTGATTTTATTGGACATGACATTTTTCAGGTTATAATATAGCTCAGAGTGATCAACTAGCCTTGATATTGCTGGCCATTCCAATAAGTATCGTTATCTTAGCTGCTGCTTCAATTATCTTTTTAAAAGGTGATGAAATGTCTAAGACTTTATCTTAATATACTTAGGAAATACAATTTTTATCATATAGAACGTAAACAACATATGTAAACATGAAAAGGAGTTAAAAATTGCTATGCATAATTAAAGAAGAACATCTCATCTTTAAAAAATAAATGAAGTATGTAATAGTAAAATATGACGCACACTCCTTCATCTGTGTTCTGAGTAACAAATGATCCTTAGTCCACATTCTACATTCTTTTTTATACCTCACCTCACATGATCACTCACTCCACTTCTCCAACCAATATACACCCATTTAGTTCAAACATGAATAACAAACAAATCAACACGTCCAGTCATACTGAATGACAAGACAACAACACAGGACAATCATGTCACAAATTTAACTCAATACACACAACACTAATCGTCAGTCACGCATTCTAACACAAAATAGGGATGAGTTTGTATTGTTTTTGTTTTGTTTTTTTCCTTTGTTTATCTTCAGCCAAAACGTGCAAGAAGAAAACAGTAAACCCATGTGATCCTGTTTACGACACATTACATTTTGACAATGAGGAACACGCCTGAAGGACATACTGCTGTACCCGGATATAACATTTAACCAAAAAAACGGTAGTAAGAGTATCACTTTATGTAGCCCCCCCCCCCCAACCTGTTAACAAGGCAATTATAACCAGAAATATTATTATCTGCCTTCGTTGCAGATGTTCCAAAATTTTGCGCTAAAGGGCCCCGGTTGAGCCAAGGATAACTCACTCGCGCACAGCACTATTGCTAAAATATTTCATTTTAAAATATGGCACAACTTTTTAAAGCTCTTGGTACAAACACCAGTTACTTATCAGGTTAAAACATACAAATGTAGCGCTTACAAATGAAAACTGGTAAGATTTTTTATTTTTTTTCTTTAAATAAATGCTGCTGTCGATTTTTACATCGATTCAGAGTCCTTTACGTAAATTGTATTAGCCAAAAATTCATGTCATCAAATATAAAGTCAAGGAAATTAAATATAGTATTTCTTCTTGCTGGTAATACAAAAAAATGTGTTAGTTTAAAAAATAAGGAATAGGGAATTAAATATATATATTTACAAATGTATACATATTATTTTTTTTTTAAATTTGCGGCGCTCTTGTTAGTGCTCGGCACGGGCACTTTGAAAACCCTAGATCAACAAAATGTGGTGTGACCTGTAGCTTTGTGTGAACCACTGCTCTTTAGCAAACCGAAACTTAAGAGAGCGGTTATTCCGAAACTTAGTTCGCTGACCTTAGTTTTGTGTTTTCAGAAAAGGCGCTAAAGTTACAGTTACTGTGCCGTGTCAGCTTTCCCTGGCCGTAATTCACTTCCTGGTCTTGATTCGTTTAAAACATGTATACAGAGAAACAATGGAAATACCGTGGTAACTAAATGCCCATGCAGTGACAATAATTTTTGTTTCAAGTTGTTGTGAACTCTCAGCTACAATGGGTGTTCCACCCCTGAATTACCATACTGACGCATACATCATCTCTCAAAGGGTTTTTCATTCTTTATAAACATCACCATTCATTCCCCCCCCCCCCCCCCCCCCCCCTCGAAATTCCAACATCTACCGATGTCAATAAATCGTTAGATTTATTAAATTATGCTTTTATTTATTATTTAATTAATTTATCTCTCCTTTTAATTAAATGGTGAAACGATTCAAATGTCTCCTTTAAATTCATTAACTCTGAGATTCCTGGCTACTAACAGAATCGTGTTTTAATCAACAGGGTGAACAAATCATAAAGAACAATTACGCACATGTCTAACTGAATTATTCCCCTGGAGATGCACGGATTTAGTAGTAACAATTTATTTTTTAAAAAGAATATTCATTTTAAATAGCTTGTCATTGGGCTTTATCAATTAAAATAAAACGCATGAAAAATAATACAAAAAAAAAATACTAAATAACATCATCAAATAAAATTACTTTTCTTTTTGTTCTTTAATGACTAAATGAAGAGATACACACAAAAAAACATTATGGACTCACCTATTGATCAAATAATAATAAGTGTTTTTAACCCACGATGGATAACCGAAAGCTATGGGTTAAGAGATGCATGGAATAGACTTGTCAGGCCATCAAGGTACTTTTAGGGAATAGAGTAAAACAAATTACATGTATTTTGTAAATCGAATGAGAAAGTTGCATGAATTTAGAAATGGTCCAACGGTGAAATAAAAAAAACAAAAAAAAAAAACAAACAAACAAACAAAAAAATGTATCAGTCTTTGCTGGCTAAAGGTTTTAGATTGTTCCCTGGCCAGATATTCTACAAACTTCTTGCTTTACAATGCAACGAAAATGAATCATAAGTTGTTGTGTGCAGAGGTCCTTCAAAATTGTATAGTGTTACGAAGAGCTCTACTGACGATGAATCAATTGGTAATATGGGCAAGGCTTGTTCAAATTTTGATATTAATGCAGAGAGCTGCCATGAAAATGAATCTTCAGGAAATATGAGCAAGTTTTGCCTAATGTTGATTTTGCTACAAAGAAGAATGTTCTACATTCTTCAGCAAGGGACAGAAAAAAAAATGCACATGTCTCTTTAGTTAAGGTAGACAGAACGTTTGCATTGATTCTGCCAAATGGCTTGATCCGTTGGATAGATTTGAGAGGCCTACGCTTTTCAGAAGATTTACAGATGCCTAATATATCAACTTAATTTTTTGAGGAAGGATGCCTGGAAGCTTCAATGAATTGATAAATTATTGTGGTTTCAATAGTGCGTGGGATAGTTCCGTAATATTATCTATTGATTTGTGAGAAACGGGGCTGCCGTAGGTATATCTTTTATTTGAACACTGTTCATTATAACGAATGCACTATTGAAGTTAACATTTTTCTTTCACATAGACACTCCCAATTACGGTCATTTTGCTCCATGCTTTGTAATACATTTTTTGCTAGTGCACCGACCGTATACAAAACAATATATGCTTTATTAGTGAGTGCAGTAAACCGACTGTTCTTCAGCACGTATATTTCTATTAACAAGTTGAAGCATCTGACGTGAAAAACCTTTTAGTGAAGCGTCATGCTGTACAGGAAGGACAATGGCAATACATTGGCACGGCCCCAGTTCAATTAAACCGCCATTGAATTTGTCAGATGCTGGGGAGGTTTGCAATAACAGGAAGAATTTGGTGACTGTCTATAGTAAAAAAAAAAAAAAGAAACCTTTGAACTGCTTTCAACAGTGTTATTGTACGTCCAAACCTGTCGTGTTTAGGACTTCTTGAGTCTGTTTGTGGGATTCATATTTCAACTTTCATTCACAATAATCCCAAACGATGACGCAACACACGTGCAATAGTTGTGCCTGTCCAGAAACATTAATGGTACGAATCAGATATTCATCATGATCTTATTTCAAAGATATTTAGAAGGAGGTGTGAGTTTTCCGACGATCGTCCACACCATTTATGAAATCAAGGAGCTCAATTCAAATAAGAAGAAGTGTGTCTTATAACAATTGTTTTGTTCTCCATTGATGCTTCAAGGAAATAAATGCAACGATTTTCTTTTCATTTTATGTTCAACACTTAATAGCAAACTACTCTTTGGTATCGCCTAAAAAGTGTTTCTGTCATAGAAGTACAAAGTCAGTTAACATTTTTAAAAAAATGAGTCATAATTAGTTTCAATTATTATATTATTCGAAAAAAATAATATATAAAATACATTTTTTTTACCGTCAGTTATATCTTTCATTGAGGCTTAGCGAAAGAAATAAATGAAATATCAATTTGTGTTTTTAGGTGGAATAATTTGACAGTAAAATACATTTAAATATATTTTTTTCAGTTTAAAAATTAGTATTAAAGAAGTAAGTAGTTACCGTCTCCACGTCTCCTTAAACTGCTTCTAAAACTGTAAAAAAATTAATCATCTACAAAAAAATGATCTTTGCTCATTACACACACAAATACATTTTTAAAAAGTAATTTACAATAAAGTCTCTTTTTTCTTTTATGTATTAATAAAGTAGCCTATCTTTAAATAGTAATAATTTTACCTGCTTGAGTCTTGGCTGCGCTTCGCAAGAGAATTTTAAGTCCTTACAAAAGTTTTCCGTCCATACTACTTTCATCTTGCAAGGGCTTCATTTCGAGAATCGTCTTTCATGTTAACACCTTTATACACTGTTTTTCCCGAACTTGATCCGTTTTCAGCTTGATGCTTTTTCTGTCCCTAACTTTACCAAAAATATAAATTTCATTTTTAAATCGATTACAACTCTCCGACCTGTATGAAGAATCACCGAACTGTATGTATTTTTTTAAAATGACATTGTACAAGTGACATCTGGGTAAAACGTGTCCATTGTTTAACATTAAGTAAGTCTTTAACTCTTACTATACATTCTCAAACAGAACAAGGAATACGATGAAAACCTACTAGAAAAAGTGCATCATCATTATATCCCTTAGTCCTTGGACCGTTGGGGCGCCACAGATGACCTGTGAACTATCCTCCTCCATTCGTTTCTGCCTTCTGCATTACGCATAGCATCGCCCAGTGTTAGTCCTGTTCTTTCTTTGATGTTATCCTACAATCTTTTACTTTTTCTTCATCTTCTTCTCCCTCCTCTTGTGGCGCTCTGCAATATTTCATTGGGAAGCCCTTGTTTCCTTGTTACGTGGCCGTACCATTGTAGTTTGCGTTTTTTCACAGTTACCAGTAGGTCATCCTACCCCCGAATTGCCTGGGCAACCCTTTCTCTCACTGTATCATTGGATGTATGGTCCCTATAGCAGATGTCAAAAATGCTTCTGAAGCATCTCATCTCCATCGCGTTTATTTTCCTTTCAAGATCGGCTGTTAATTTTCAGGATTCGCAATCATACAGGAAAATTGAGAAGACTAATGAACGCATCAGCCTGATTTTGGTGCTGGGGGCTATATTTTTGTCATTCCATATTTTCTTGAGCCTCTTTAGTCCTGTTGTAGTATGCGCAATTTAGGACATCAGTTCGGGCTGGGAGCCAATTTCTGAGACTATTGATCCAAGGAATTTAAAGCGGCCGACAGTCTCTAGTCTTTCCTACCCGACCTTAATTTCAGTGGTGATGCCAGTGGTGTTATTTGTCATGAGTTTTGTCTTTTTGGCACTGATTAACATGTCGTAGGACGATCACGAGGTCGTATCAAGACGCTTTACCAGGTTGGCTTGCTCTTAGTCGTTTCCAGCCAGAAAATATTGTCTTTAAAAAAACCCTCATAAACCAGCGTTTAGCAAAGTTTTAATTTTATTCTGATTTATTTTTTCTGTTGTTTGTTTGCTGACGAAGTCTTCCTGACGCCACGTTCGTTGTTTTGTTGCATTCCTTTAGTCAGGTTTGACTTTTTTTGTTTAAGTCATTTCCTTTTTATGTCTACCTGATTGCAGTCGCTCCCTTATTATCATAGACCAGATCACATCCATCAGTGGTCCTTAATTTGTTCAGCCATGATGCAGTGCTGGAATCCGATGAGGCATTATAATTGCTATGGAACCATCTATTTATAAAAAGTAGGGTCACCGTTTCAATTTAAATACTTATAAGTCAATATTGATTGTACTTAATAT